TGAACATAAGTCAAACATTTAAAGAGAGTTTAGGTTTGTGTGTCTATAAATAATGATTGCTAGTCTCCATCTTCCCCTATTTGTAAAGAGACATGCGTTGTGACATCTTTAGTGTCATATAATTGACAACTTCACTTATAGATAGCTATTATTTGAACTTCAATGTCATATCATGGATATCATGGCGTGTTTCATCGATATTTTCAATAGAAAATGTCACTTTTTACCCAAATTTCTACTTTTGAGGTGTTTGTTTGACAATTTTTTTTTCATAAAAAAAAATATTTTTCAAGTTTTGATTACGTGATCATATTTTTCTTAAAAAAAGAAAAACATTTTCTTTAGGGAGTGGTGATTTTTATTTTCCAGTTAATTCACTCTCTCTTACCCTCTCTCATCTATTCACTCACTCTCATCTACCCATCAATAAAAAAAAAAGGCAAATGTAATATTTTATGGGTTAAAAGCTAAATCAATCAAACACATTTAATTAATAATCTATATATAAATAAGTTATATGCAATTGAATTCCTTAGAATTTATTTGATTTCCATATTTGCAATCAAACGCACTCTTAATGTCAACCAATAATATCTTAGATTAAAACTTGAACTTTGATTACAAAGCTTATAAACAATTTTACACACGTTAATTGACCAACTATTTTGAATATTATGTATCAAACTCTAAGAAATCCATGAGAAAATATTTTCAGTACGACAAAAACTATAAGAACATCATGTACTCGTCCTATTATTTTCAAAAATATATTTTTCTCTCTTATTTTCAATAACACATTTTTAATAAAATAATATAATACGTAAATTCAAAAAATTTCATTATTTTTTAACTACACAATTTCTATTAAAATACTATTCCAAAATGTATTTTGGGGGAAAAAAGGGGCTCGAACAGGTGATTAGTCCCGTTTGGCCTCAATTTTTAAATTTTTCTCCTACAAATTCATTTTAACCACACATTTTATTAGATCCACAATTTTATTTTATTTTTTCAACTTTTCAATCATATATTTCAATATATTTTTTAATCAAAATCTATTTAAAATAATTTATAGTCAAAGCAAACAGACACTTTAACATTTTAAGTAAAAGAAGAAGTTCATTCATACAAGTGAATGCAATTGATTTGCAGCTTCCAGCCTCCGGTGTGCAAGATAAAAGCTTCTTACTACTAATGTGATAATTTACCACATCAGTAGTGAGGAATTTTTATCATGCCTATTGAGGACGGGAGATTAGGATTGTACAAGCGAAATCCACTCTCGTACGGAATGTTAAGCCAACCAGGCTCATAGTGCATAAGTTTGATGGGTTTAATTAGTTTGGTGGCATTGAACTTCATCGTTTTGGTATAAAATATCTTTCATTCTCGAAGGTAAAGTTATGTTGCTTTATCAGATCTACATGTAGTCACAGGCTTCTGAATCAGAAAATGAACCAGACTCTAGTATGTCCCTATGAGTCCGAATTCATGCATTCTATTTTTCATCCCATTCATCGAAAGGCACAGCCGTTATTTGATATAGTTAAAAAATATGATTAAAATTTAAGTCAAAATTAACAATTAATTTTAACCACAAATTTTATAAAACTCACACTTTTTAACTATATATCACATCAGTTTTATAAAATTCTACTAAAAATTCAATTTTAATCTCTATTAAATAGGAGCTACTATCTCTTTGTAACTACCTATGATTACCGTTTAAATGTGTATATACAGGCATGAAAACAAGGAAAAAGCCAAAATGTACAAGGCTGTAAACCCCATGTGCTAGAGGGGGTTGTGTGACTAGGGATAACAACGAGGCAAAGCAGGGTAGGGACAATCTCCCCCGCCCCCTGTCTCGCCAAGCAATTCCCCGCCCTGTTACCCGTTTAAGGCGGGGCGGGGTCCTCGTCCCTTTTACTATTCTGTTTAATTTTTTAAAAAAATTTTGATAATTTATTTTTATTACCCCTATAACCCTATTAATTAGATTTAGACAAATAAATTTAGTTGTTATTTTCTATTAGAACTAATGAAATTTCGTAAAATTTTTCATTTAAAGTATTGAATTTTAAAATAATAATAATAATAATAATAATAATAATAATAATAATAATAAACGTGGCGGGGCACCTGTTACCCGTCCCTGTCCTGCCCCAAACTTGTCCCAGGCAAAATTTTCCACCCCGTTCCCACTTCGAATACCCGATTAAGCTGATTATTCCTACCCCGTTCGGGATGGGGCCCCGCAGGTATTGAGTTTGTCGAAATTTTTTGTCATCTCTATGTATGACCCTGCAAACCAAGCAAAATCTTGAAAATAAATCCATTACCAAGAAGTGGTGGGATGGTACCACGGGGACCTGGTTTGATGGTCCCTCAGGTAACAAGTCCCACAGAGACCAAAAAGGGTTAGGATGGTACCACACGTAAAGAGTTTCAATATTTTATAGAGCTATGACATGACTTGGTCGGACACATATTATTTAAACTCAAATAGTTAGAACATGTTTAGACAATACTAGACCCATCTAATCTAATTATTAGTCTTTTATTTTTTTTACTTAAGACAAATACTATAATCTCGAAAGATATAAGATTACAGAAACTAATAAAATGTCTATAATACTATCGTCTCACATATTGTACATGTATTTTATCCTCGTCCAATATCAGATAATTATGTGTGGGAACAAATTATCATTTTGTCCATCTAATTATTCTCATTAACTTAAGTTCTATTTTTCTCAATGATCATGTAAACTATTAACAAATGTCGAAATTTAATTGTCGTTAAACACTAAGATTAGATTTCAACCTTTCGACGAAAATTATTAAATAGTCATTCTACCCATTTTTTCAGGGTGATAGTCATACAAATTTTCGCTTTTTCTCAAGTTTCTAATTCATCAAGATAAATGATCAAACAAATCTGTTTGGTGGTCTTTTTTTTTTTTTGAAAAAAATTGTTTTGAATAGTAAATTTTTGGAAAATATTTGGTTAAAAAATAGGAAAAAGTTTTGGATTTATGTATAGCATATTTATTATATGAATGTGTGGTTGAAAATAAGTCGATAGAAAAAAGAGTTTTAAAAGAATGAAAGACAAACATGAACTTAATCTTACTCGTTGATAAATTAAAGAACCATTATACTCAATAAAAGATATATACTATCCTTTATTAGCACCACATGTAATTAATGCTTGTTGATCAATATCGAGTTGTTGATCTCCTAATTTTTCGTCAATTGTTGTTGATACTATTTGTCAATTTTCGTAAACTTGAATCAGTATAGGTGACACTAAACGACATTAAATGAAATATGTAATTAAATAAATTATATAATTTTACCTTTAATTGACACATCAAATTATATCACATAAACGGTACATAACATTATTTTTTAAAAATTGGGTATCAGTTAAATTTTGGGAAAAATTCAAAAATAAGGTGT